TAGTTGTGTTTTAAAGAAAGTTCTGTAAGGGATAAATTACTTCAACAACAATAATCAGATTCACAGGTGTGTTTTAAAGAAAGTTCTGTAAGGGATAAAGTACTTCAACAACAATGGTCAGATTCATAGTTGTGTTTTAAAGAAAGTTCTGTAAGGGATAAATTACTTCAACAACAATAATCAGATTCACAGGTGTGTTTTAAAGAAAGTTCTGTAAGGGATAAAGTACTTCAACAACAATAATCAGATTCACAGGTGGGTTTAAAAAAGTTCTGTAAGGGATAAAGTACTTCAACAACAATAGTCATATTTATAGGTGCATGTGTAGTTTTAGATGTATTAGAGTTTTATGGGTCTCAAAACAAACTGTGAAACAGTTTACAAAGCAATCACCATAATACAACATCATTCTTTGTAGTGACCATGAAATTAACTTAATTCTTTCTTCTCCATTGTTATGTTATATCATATGTCAGAAGAAATTTCTTTTCATACATTATTTTACTTTGCAAAGTTTGTATAACCTCACAAGTGTTCGTTACGGTTTCCGAAATCATGGGCAGACTTTCAGATGTTTCGTGACACGCGTTGCGTAAAGGTTGAAGTTCTGCGTCATATGTTATGTTTATGGGAATTTAAAAAAAAAACATTTGATCGTTTCCAAAATAAGAGTGGAACTCGTATACGTGTTTGTTAATGTTTTAAAATGATGAAGTTTAGAGAGCATTTTTATGTGATTTTTAAAGGAACTTTGATATTTTATAACAGTTGGTGTACCCTATGACAAGTGAGCTTTAAATGAATCACTATATTTACAGAATAATATTTTAAGTTGTACTGCAGCAAGATATTAAGTAGTTTTTTTCAACTGGTTTACAAATTTCTAACAACTTGAAGATTAACTGTTTTATGTAACCATTACAAATATAGCATATTTGTAGCTACTGCAAATTCCATTAACAAACAAAGAGTTGATATTCTTATAACAAGAACACATGTAAAGGGAAACAGTGTAATATGAAATGCTTGTTTGAAGTATTGTTAAGCTTTCCATTCTTTTAGGGACATAAAAGCTGGAAATATATTGTTAGGCAAAGATGGAACAGTACAAATAGCTGGTAAGTTTAGAAGATGATTCAACTCAATAATTTTTTTTTATTTGTTCATTTAGATGAGAAATCTTTCAAAATCACTAAAACTCATTTCATTGGCAGTAAATTTAAAATTATTATACAAACAGTCAGTGATTTTTAAAAAGCATGACGAAATTGAGAAGTTGGTAAACCATTTAAGTAAAAAATATTTCTTAACAGTAGCGTAAAAGAAAAATTGTATTTGAAATTAAAAATTAAATGTTTCATTAGTTAAAGTCTTATCACTGTATTATTATGAATACTTAATGTAAAGTCATGTAGTAGAACAGCTGAGAATGTGTTGTTGTTTTTAGGAGAAAGGAAAAATCGGTAAAACATCTGAATATAAGTGATACGTAATTGTGGTTCTTTTTCATTTGTTATGAAAATTCATCTTTATTTTTTAATGTCACATTGAAAATTACCTGGAATTGTTAGTACAGGTATATATAAGAAACGGTAATTATTGCCGACACTGTAATAAATAATTAGCTTGCAAATAACAATTTACTTGGGTTGAGCAACAGGTATTTTACTGTACATTTGCTGTGGCCAATTGCTATGATTGAATGGTGCCTTACTGGTAAAACCATTGTCAGAATAAGTGAAATGTACAATTTTCTTTGCTTTTCCTCAATTCTGTATATGTATGTATGTTGTTATTGTGTACAGATCAGGTGTGTTTCTTTTTCAGCCAACTTCTAGAGGGGAATACAAAAAATTTTGGTTTCTACGGCTGATTTGAAACGTAGATAAGAGCAACTGCTTAGAGCTATTTAGAATGTATATTTCATACCTGTACGCAATAAAAATCACTGACGTTTTATTTCTAATTAACACACTTTCAATATTAGCTCAGAAATTATCAACCTTTTTGCAGAAAAATGTAAATTCCTTGTTTCAAACGCTGCATCAACTTCCAGATTTTGGTGTTAGTTCGTGGTTGGCCACTGGTGGTGACCTTTCTCGTCAGAAAGCTCGACATACGTTTGTCGGTACGCCTTGTTGGATGGCTCCGGAAGTAATGGAACAGGTAATAAAGTTGGGCATGATTTAAAAAAAAATGGGATATTACAATATTTTTTGATTAATATTCTAAATGTTTTGAGTTATAACAGAATGTCCTTTTAATTTTGGAAACTTTGTTTGTAATCTTTAAAAGTGTGAATACACGGAAAAGAAGAAAGATAGTAACATATGTACATTTTAGTGTCTAAAAGTGTCACCTGAAATCCTTAAATCTTAGCTTAATAAGAAATAGGAATACAAGTTCCTTAGCTTTACTTTAACTTTCCTTGAATGTTTTATTTCTCTTTGATCTCCATAATTGTGTAAAGGTAGACTTAAAAAAAACAACAACTGAAAATGCATATGAAAGTATCTTTGTCAGCATTTTTGTAAATGTATAGAATTTTCAGATTTGTTAGCATGAAAATCACCTTTCACTCAGACTGACTCAGTAAAGGCTTTACAAATTCACGTAAATATATTTTGTAAAACTACTTTATTGAAAACATCTGATTTTTGTGTGTGTGTGTACAACAGACTTGTAATGTTTACTTAAACCTTGCCCAATTACAGGAAGATAAACGTAGTAAACTCAGAATTATAGTAAACATTATGTATAGTTTCACACATACAGGGTTGGTTTATGAAATAATTTGTAATTTATGTGAGAGAGATTTTACAATGTTACTATGTACATTTTCTGCCATAACAATCTCATGATTACTTTTACACATAGAACGTATTAAAATAGATTTAGGCTTAGATGTTCGAAACCTTGTTTATATGTCCAAAAGGTTTTAAAACTGCGTGTAAGACAAACTATGACCTTCTTTAAATTTAGTAAACTGCTACTATCAATATAATTTTAAGATAAATGATGTGTTTTTTAAATCTCGGTCTCTTGTGACCACAACATTTAAATGTCTTGTATTGTTTCATTTACTGATAGATTAATGTCTGATCTTTAAATCTCCTTGGAAACAGTGTGTTGTAGAAATAATGATAATTTTTCTTAATACAAACCTTATTCTACCTCGGTGTTTCTCAACCCGGGCGGTACGGCCCCCTAGTAGGCATTTTAAAATTGGTGGTGTGGCAGGGGGATGGACAGAAAAGTTTTGAGTGTTTCAAAGTTATATTTATTAAACTTAAACCATAAGAATTGACTATTATTGCCTTACAATTTTCATTTTAATGGTTTAAAACTTTATTAGAAGAAGACGCTAGTGTTCATTGTTTGCCGAAGGGGCCTCTGTGGCAAAAAAAAGGTTGGGAAATACTACAGTCTACTTGTTAACTACATGTTATATATGAATCTGTTTGTAGCCAAATTTTTATGTAGTATAACTTGGTAATTAGTTGGTTTAACAGTATACTCTGAAGTACTTTGCTGTTTTTTGATCTTGTAAGTTCCTAGGTTTATGTATAGAAATTAAAGTTAAGGTTTAAAGTAGAAGAACATTTTATCTTGTTCCTAAATGTTTCATACTAATGGTTTGATTAACTCAAACGTATCAAAATTCCTTAGTAATAACATCTTTAATAATTTTTCACTCGTCGAAGAGGCTGCTGTTAATTACACTTTTGTTTTTGTGTCCAGCGAGAGCTTATAAAGTAAAGAATGTAACCTGAAATCAACGATCATGGGAACATTATTATTTGTTTAAAATAACTGACTGATTAAGGAAATGAAAATATCTTATATTATTATTTTAGGTAACAGGATACGACTTCAAAGCAGACATCTGGAGTTTTGGAATTACAGCTATTGAACTAGTTACTGGAACTGCACCTTACCATAAGTACCCACCCATGAAGGTGAGCTCATTTCTTCCTATTTCAGGGTATCTGTGAAACCACGGTTGTTATCTAGTTGTTTTATCATAATGAATAAATGTAGCTGCATTTCCTTAATGCAGTATTATGATCTTTAAGTTTTCCAAGAGACAAATAAACCAGTAACTCGTATTGCAATTAAAGCATTCTATGGTGGGGTAACTTTTATAAATAAAACATGCATGGAAGTCTACAAAGAATACCTAAAATCATTCTATGGTGGGGTAACTTTTATAAATAAAACGTGCATGGAAGTCTACAAAGAATACCTAAAATCATTCTATGGTGGGGTAACTTTTATAAATAAAACGTGCATGGAAGTCTACAAAGAATACCTAAAATCATTCTATGGT